ATATACTGTGCACGGAATACATTGCATTAAGTCTAAACTTCCATTCCAGATAGAGAATTTTTATCAGCAGGGGCTCCTGAAGATAACGGATCACTCCACTTCTACACCGATGGTTCTAAATTAGAGAGCAAGGTAGGTGTACGGTAAGGCGGACTAACTTCCAAGAGAGGGCACTTCCATTCCATTTTCGCAAACCCCGGAAGGGTTTAGGCATGCCTGAAAGCTCATTTTAATGGATTTATCTATTAAACGGGCAAAGGACGGATGGCACAGTCTAACAAGTAGCAGCAACACAAAGCTTATGTGGGCAAAATGGAATGAGAGGAGAAATGTCTCCTCAAAGGAGACTTAGCTACAGCCATGGGCCTGCTAACAGGCCCTGTTGCCATTGGAAGGCACGCGAAAAGGCTAGGGATCCCCACAACGACTTCTGCAGAAGTTGCAGAGATGAAGAAGAGCCGGTAACCTTACGTCACCTACTATGCGAATGTCCCGCACTTTGCAAAAGAGGACGCAAGTTGTTGGGCTCAGAATTCTTCGAGGGTTTAACCAACATTGCCGCCGAAGTAGTAATTCGGCGATTCCTGAGTTTCGCAGACTCCACCCGATGGTTTGAGTAGGAGGGCTGTAAAGTCCCGAGTGGTATCACAACGGACCCAAAATCTTAATGGCTTTAACCTAGCCTAACCTAAGGCAAAAAAGGCACTGGGAAGATGGTTGCCCTTAAAATCAGATGGTTGCTTAACACGACTTATTGCGAAATTCGTAAACTAGACACGGAAAAGAAGGCAAAAACACAGGGTTAAGAGTAAGATCAAACACTTTGTTGACTGTGGAAGGGAAACATTTTCAAGAAGAAACGAAATTACTTTTAAATATTGAAAACAAAATAGAAGCGCCGTGTTATAAATTAATATATACAAAAACTTTTTCTTGCGTTCGAAAAGTTTCTGATAATTTCCCATATGATATATGTACATACGTATGTATACTTGTACACATGTACATAACTGTCAAATCACATGCAAGTGTGCAATGGGTGAATATAAATTTACTTGTGCATTAACATTTAAGATGCAAAGTGAAGCGTAAAACAAGCGGAGTAAGGCAAATGCATCAGTTAGTGCAAAATAGAAAAAAACGAAAGAGAAGGAGTCAAAATAGATACTAACGTGTGTATGCTTGGGTATGAATAAATGCGCGGGGAATTATTATACATTTACATGTACATACACATGTACATTCGTGTTTATTTTTAAGACTCTACGCTGCAAAAAATGGGACTAATCTGGGATGACTACGGGAGCAATCGCAAAGGAACATGCGACTAATACCACCTTTGATCTCTTTATATGGAATGAACTGTTCGCTTTTGATCTCTTTATATGGAATGAACTGTTCGCTTTTGTTCGAGCATGTCCTATGAAGAGAGTAATTGTTCTCCTCTATACCCGAAAGGGTATAAAAAGCGACTAGTCACTTTTAAAAAATAAAAATAAAAATTTGCGCCAGCTGCGATTCAAACCAGAGTTCTCAGTTTTGTTAGGCGAATACTCTCTCTATATGCCAACGCAGCACATGAAATTTCATTGACTAAGTGATTGAAAAAGTTGTGGAACAAATTCTTTTAATAAAGGGATATTTTTCCGAATTCCGCAATAAAATCTGCGTTTTACCAACCAATTATTTCATGTATAGAACCCAACAAAAAGCCTGAATCGATCGAAAGTGTGACATCAATTTTGGTGTCCGATATGAAAAAGTATGCCTCATATAGCCCAGTCAATCGTAGATAAAGGATATGCCAATTTCAAAAAAGGCATGCTGATTAAAATAACAAATGTCATATCTCTGAATTTGGCAGGAAATACTTTTTCTTAATTAAAAATTATTGGCAATTGACGCATCGCTACTTATATAACTGACGGTTTGTTACTATTTATCGTATCATGGTTAAAGAAATGGCATATCGTATCGGCATAAGTTATGTAAATAGTTGC